GTGTTTTCGATGATTTACATGGTTTTCACGTCTAGAGCTTCATTTTGATTGCTATGTACAGAGAAAAAAGGTACGTATTTTCAAATCCCTAGTGAAGTAGGTTGCCAGATGTCCAACTTTCGGTAGGAGTTTTGACATTTTGTCCGCCTTGTCACTTTTTCCTCTGAGACAAATGCTTCTGTAGCCATCCAGGCAAAAGCCAATGTAAACAAATGAACAGGAGGATTAAGAGGAAATTGCTTGATTAATTTCTATCTTCTATAACTAACTTCTATCCTACACTCGCCAAGCACTTGATTTACTTGCTGAAGGCACTTGGGAGTTACTTGGGCAAATGTTTGGCAAAGGACTTGACAAGAAGTTAAAGTAAGTAATATTTTTCAGAAGAATTCCAGAATTTTCATGAATTTTCTCCACTCTCAGTCGAAAAATTTGATATATATTGATATGTTAGTATAGTTATGCATTTAAAAACTTCACTTGTACATTTCTCGACCGATTTAGAGACCGAAACGTTGAGTGTACCATTTAATGAAAAATAAATAATTAATTTTTGTCAGTCATGGCTGCTTCTTTAAAATATTACTTATTACGATTATTGGTTCTAGTGTCATCTCAGAAGTTAAAGTACTTCAAGTACTTGATTTACTTGCAAAAAAGCCCAAAAACGTTGGACAAAACTTGTGAGGGTACTTGACCAAGTACCGGCATGTAAGTACATTCACTAGAGAAGAAAGTTAAGTAACTATAGCAAATGAGAATAGTGTATGTTATGTGTATGCGGCTTCCATTTGTGAGAGCAGTTCGTTCGTTTGTGTTTTTTGTACAAACTATAGAGAGAGTTTGCAAAAACTGTACGGATAAGTCGATTCAAGTATTAAGGATTTAGGACGATTTGATAGAAGATACGAATAAAGCTGATTCAATGTCCACTAAGCCAGAGAGATCGGCCTGACACGACGGGCAACACACATGGATAGAGCGACTCTTCCAACAAGACTACTCCACAGAGCACAACTACGTAACTTCCCCAAAAAAAGCCGTCACAAAATGTACATTATCTTTGGAACAATTTTTTTTCCTCCAACACAAAAGCATCAAAATTATTGCGCTTCGCATCAATATTTTTTTCGATCCCTCTTGCTTAAATAATCGAGGACCTGTCGGTTCTGCATAGTTTTTTTTTATTTATTTTTACCCCATTCTTTACTAGAATAGTACAGTTCATGCAAACGTACGTTAGAGGTTTTAACTTGAGTTAATTTAATTGTTTGCTAGAAAAAAAATTTCTAAATAAGATCTGAACAGCAGTTTGCATTCTTAGGGGAATATCTTGAAGATGTTCTGGTAAGATTTTTCTCTCTTGTCATTTCACACAAGAATCTTTCGTTTTTTCCTATTTATTTTTGACCTTAGGAATGTGTAACCAAAAATCTTTAGTTAATCATTGTTAACTGTTTAACCTCGTTCTAATGTCAGACTTGCCTACACAAGTACACGCACAATATTACCAGACAATTGTGTCTGTGTACTATACCTTGTATTATCTTTGTAAACTTATATGAAGATGTAACACACACATAGTGAGAAAAAGAAATTAAAAAAAGCAGGGCACTGCATGTGTGCTGTGCTTATGGTTACGTTGTTCTCTTCTTCTTTTATCGTTCATCTATTGTATATTGTATGTTTTCTTATAAAAGGCATTCTTTTTTTGTTATCGCATTGTTAAAATTACATTATCGTGTACTCTATTGCAGCCATACATTGCTTTTTTCATTTTTTTGTTTTCATATATAAATTTTACCGATAAAATAATGTTGAATCTCACCAAAATTTTAATTAACATTGTGGTAAGTATACAGCAATTTCAATGTGTCGAAGCAGAAAAAATAAGATTCCGTTTTTACAACATTTGTTACAAAATTGAGGCGTTTTTCTCCTAATGATTTTGCAAATCAAAAACGGGGTTTCCTTTGTCAAAAACTGCACAACATCGAAGAGATTAGCCTATATAGGTTCGATTAGCATGTAGACCGTGTGGACCTCAAAATAAATGCACTAAAGTAAGAAGAGCACCAAATGGTTGATTAGCATCTCTATATGAGTTTCCTCGGTGTAATATCGCTTTGTTGTTGATGACTTGCAGGATGTAGCAAAGAACAGTTCCAGAGCATCTCATTCACAGGATTTTAGATTAGCTCTTGGCTCTAGCAACGAATTGTCCATAGCTTTAGTATTTCTCGGATCTGACTTAGTCCTCTGACTTAGTCATACTTCAAAAAAATATTTTGTTCAACTTTGTAATAACAGAAAAGGCGAAGGAACTCCTTTCCTTTCCATCAGACACGGGGTCATCAATGAGTTATACGACATCCATGGGAAAATTTTATCGATATTTTACGAGTGCGGGCCCGTGAAGTTCCACTTGGGATTTCACAAAATTTGGAACGTAAAGACAGCAAGTTTCACGACGTCGGGGTCATGCACTTGCAACATCAAACGCGTGTTCACGAGTAGAGATTGTTCTCTTGTATACACATGTGACATTTTGCACCAGTCACTACGCGTTTGATGTTTCAACTGCATGATCCGGAAACCGTAAAAATTTCCACGAAAACTTTTGAACGGAATCTTCACACGCGTACACAAGTGAACCCCTCCAAGCGTGATTACGTGTGAAAAAATCTTGACCATGGTGACCATGTATAACACAGTCCTCATTAATGCGACTTCATCTATAACTTTTTCCAAGTGTGACCACTAGTTTCTAAACTATCACATTTTATACATATCACTACACAGTAAGAGTCAAAGAAGGGTACTTTGAATTAAAATCTACGACACTACTATTGAGTGAACTTGCCTGAGAAACTAATGAATAAATCTCACATTCATACTTGTCGACCAAGTATGTTTCCGGTCACATTTTTCGTACGTGGTCACAAGTGAAATGATAAGTGACTACGCGTGAAAAAGCTATACGTCAGTGACCAGACGTGAACAGTTCGTGAAAACATATCTGCGACGTTTCTGTCGCGTGACTACTAATGAAGCTCAAGAAGAGTGTAGTAACTACCCGTGGATTTTTCGTTATATTTTGTGTGCAGAAAAGAACTGCATGAAAAACTTACACGTGGATTGTGAAGTGTTACCTTTTATAGTAAAATTCGTTCTAAACATTCTGACACATGTTCACAAGTGAAACCTTTTTACAGAAATATTAATGCGAAAAATCTGCGCGTAGTTACTACACTCTTCTTGAGTTTCATTAGTAGTCACGCGGCAGAAACGTCGCAGATATGTTTTTGCGAAGTGTTCACGTCTGGTCACAAAAATTTTCCCATAGGTAGAAGAAATCAAAAAAATAAAATTATATTGTTTTATCGCGATCGCGAATTTATTGGTATTTCTCGGTGCGACGCTCGACATCGTGATTATCATCGCGACAGAGAGTGGAGAGTTTGCTTGGAAACCTTAGAATAGCAACGTGAGTCATGGCTTCTCAAGGAACTCAATTTATTTTAGTTGAAAATCTGGAATCTCCAAGTGAATCGCGAGTTTTCAGCGGTAGGAGTCGTGATGCAATTTCAAATATCAAAGGAAATGTAAAATCTAAGCTAAGTGGAATATAGTAAACGACCTATACGCGAGTTTTTCTTCTAAATAACGAAGTAATTATAATTAATAAAATTTAACTTTTGTATCAAAGTGCATTTCTGAGTGAAAATGGAGTCACTGTGTGTTAATTGTTATTGAGACAAAGGTACAAACTGATTTATAATGCAAATAAACAACAAAAAATAGAAAATTATCAGTTTTGGAGGTATCCTTCGTGTGCCGGATGAGGTTTTAAACGTGCTGAACTTGTGCTTGTGCTTTGTTTAAGACGCTCAGTGTTTGAATGGACTTTTTAGTGACCCAAGGCTGTTTTCCTGTCGAAACCGTGGACCAAGTGGATGTGTGGTTTTTTGCGACTACATTTCAACTGTTTCTATGTTTATTACTTATATAGAAGCGTTCAAATATCTCTGCGCATCTGTATTAATCGTAGTTTGGTACGACGTGTTTAGTAACTTTTACTTCGTTCCTTGTATTCGTTACTAAACTTGTCCAGTTTTAATACCTTGACCTTCTCTCTCTGTTTTATAATAATAACTTTGTATTGATATTTAGACTTTTATTCTAATAAATGGATGGAAAATCACCCAGTAGGACAATTTCCTACGTTTCACAATAATGGGTTTTATTTGTACAGATTCTACGAGGTACTCTTTTTCAATGGCTGCATAATCAGCTGTTGGGCGGAAAGAGCCACCCTCCAGTGTCAGGGTTCGTACTTACTTGTTGACACTTCAGAGTATTTTTTTATGATTAGTTTCTCAAATCACTAGATGTGTCCTTGCTTGTTTTTCTTTGATAAAAATTTATTTTAGTTCTTGAGATTACAAGTACTACTTTACTTTTACTAATTATTCTTTTATCCGGTTAAAGTAATAAACGTTTGTTACTTATTACTGTTATTTATTACTGGTAATAAATCTGATTATTTTATTACTTGTTACTTCTTTACATATCACCGATAGGTGAAATTTTTAAATAGAACTAGAGCCAATGAAAACTACATTTTCGGATAGAGGATAGTCGATTGCATATGTATCCACCAAAATTGGCTCGGGGTACTGCCAATCGGGAAGCAAAATATTTTTTGGAAAGTTTCCAAGGGAAAGAAAAAAAAGGAAGCAAAAAATAGAGTCAGTTGGGGGAAATAGTCTATAGCGATTCGAGCAGGAATTGAACCCACGCCGTAAGAATTCTCTTTCTGTCTGCTCTGTCCACTGAGCTATCGAGTTATACTTTTCTTATCGTCCTTTTTTTCACCATATTTGACATGATGAGAAACAAATGAATTTTCATTATTGACTTTCTGAAGAATCTTTCAGAAGCATATGCAAAAAACAACAGCAAAAATGACGTCTCTAACTATCGGCTAATAACTAATGTTAAATTGCTAGTAAAACTTGAATAGCCATGGAGACAGTTGTGACGAGGCCCACAAGAAAAGACATAGCACGACTTGGTTGAGGCAATGGAGTCTATAAATGGGTTAATACTGAGCATGTTCACCTGTTTTAGAGTAAGATATCAATTAATGCGTACCTGATAAGCAATCGTATGTATGATACGGGATAAAAAAAACACTCTAAAGTGCCATAATGCAACATAAGGGTTTGGATTAATAGCGACGTAGAATATTCCAATCAAAACGAACGGAATGATATTTTCAATATCATTCAAATGATTTCTACAAATATAGCAAAATTGTTATATAAGGAGTTGAAGTTCATGTCTTTTAATCGAAGTCATTTCGGTTGTCATTAACTCCCACAAGTTGTGAAATACAAATACATTTTGTTTTCGTTATTTTTCGTTATGGCCAATGAGTCGGGATCAAGGGACCAATGGAAGATAAGTAATATGACAGCGTATTCGCTATTTTGTGTGTTTAGTTTCCTGCGAAGCTTCTAAGTCAAAAAAGCGATTTAGACAAAATGCAAAACACGTCATTTCGTAACAGCTATATTTCTAGAGGAGTTGGATCTAAGCATAAGTCGTATGTATATTTTCATAATCTAAACTGATGCACATGTACCATGTGCCACCACATAAGTATTTGTCTTCGCAGGCACGTTTTTCTAAAATTACCACTTTGTGACTAAATCCCCCCCCATAATAGAAGCCTCCCCCATATTAGAAGCTCTCTCTGGAGGAATCGATGTGGAAGGTGTATTAGAAGCCCAAGGGCTTCAATTACGTCGGAAAAATAATTTAAATTTTTTTAACGACACATTTGATCGACACGTGCTTCCTGGAAAACCTCCGGGGCTTCCAGAAACCTCTTAAGTTTTCCGAAAAAGTTCTCCAGAGATTCTTACAAGACGTCAAACCTTGGGGACCGGATACAGATAGTGTATACTTGGACGTCTATGCATCTCATTTAGACTTAAGCCACACCCTCTAGAACGACGTCATACAATATCAACTTCTAAAAGCCTCAGAAGACCTTCGCTGTCGGCTGAACGTCCAAGGTAAAAGCGATCTGATGGTATTATTGGATAGACCATGTAATGGACTACACAGGATGAAAAAATCCCTGTTCCATCACGGGTCTTTGCGGAGAAACAGAACCTTAATTTTTTGTCTCCATTTTTTGGACGCTGGATTTTCCATCGAGCGGACTCTGGAAACCGCGCAGAGCTTAGAAAGTAAAAGTCCTAGAAAGCTCAAAGTTTGGACTTATAGGTTTTCACACATACTGACCAAGACAGGACTAGTAAGAAGCAAATCTGAGACATCGATTAAGCATGATCTTATGGTAATCTGTCGTTTTTCTCGTGTAATGACTCTCAGGAATAAAAATCAGGCATATAGCAAAAAAAACTCATCAATGGTTTCTACTGATATGAGATTATTCTTACTTTGTAACTGATGTTCATGGACTTTTTTAAAATCTTATACGAAACGGTAAGATCGTATAGCACAATCCTTCATAGTATCGTATTGACTGCCATCTATTCTATTGTAATATTCTGTCTTTTCAACATATATCAGGTGGCATACGTTAACAAACTTACCGTCTTACTCGTTCTACGTCGGGATCGGCTAATGTTAATTGTCCTTTGGGAGTACCGAACAAGCCTAGTGTGTCTTCTGGATTAGCAAATGCCTATGAAATAAGAAAGAGATTCTTTTAGCATATCTAAGTCATAGTTTACTTCAGTAAAGCTAAGATTAAACAAATCTTAACACAGCATAATACGCTGACACTGCTAAACCGCAATGCGTGACGTGAACGCATTTTAAAGCAAGAAACAGCTCGTTTTTTTGCAGAACCACGCAGAAACGTGAAAAAAAGGTGCGATCGATTCTTAAATGAGTGGTGAATATTATTGCTGCAGATCTCTTTATGTTTATACAATTAAAGTATTACTTACACGTTTTGAAAAACGTTTTCGAGATGTAAACAAAGACATTAACATCATTTTGAGAACGCTTGCTATTGCATAAAATGCAAAATTTGCAAATACAGGATTAGCAATTGAGTAAACCATGTGGGAATAATAATTTTCTAAAATTAATTAATATTATTTCAGAAATCTTTGGAAGAATATAGTTTGGTCGTATCAGTCAAAAAGCTTTTATTCGCATACTTCCTCATCCCTATCGACAAATAATGGGTTGTATTTGTACAGATTCTACGAGGTACTCTTTTTCAATGGCTGCATAATCAGCTGTTGGGCGGAAAGAGCCACCCTCCAGTGTCAGGGTTCGTACTTACTTGTTGACACTTCAGAGTATTTTTTTATGATTAGTTTCTCAAATCACTAGATGTGTCCTTGCTTGTTTTTCTTTGATAAAAATTTATTTTAGTTCTTGAGATTACAAGTACTACTTTACTTTTACTAATTATTCTTTTATCCGGTTAAAGTAATAAACGTTTGTTACTTATTACTGTTATTTATTACTGGTAATAAATCTGATTATTTTATTACTTGTTACTTCTTTATATAATAATTTTTTACTATCTTACTTACTACTTTTCTTCTTATCAGTAATAAGTAAAGTAATAAAAGATTATTACTTGAAAGAGTAATAAAATAATAAGATTTATTACTTGTTTCCTGATAATAAGTTTTATCACTTATGACTTGGTGAAGAAAAGTAAAGTGACACTCTTACTTGAGGTCAAAAGAAGCAAATGATTTTGAGAAATGTATTACCGCACATTATTCTAAAGAATGATAAAAAAAGTTTGAGTATAATAGCGAAGAAATCCTATAACAAGATTGTATACAAGAAGAAAAATGTTCACTTGAAAAGCATACGAAATCAGTGTATAATGCGTAGACTTCTATTTACTAATTTAATATGAATATGAGCGATTTTCAGCGCTACTGGACCGCTTCAGCAGTTTAGACTTGCGTCTAATGTATCGTGCATCAGAAACTGAGTAGAGCAATATTCAAAAAATCATACGAGATTTAGGTAAAAAGTGTGGTGTTATTATTTGCACAAGGTAGTACAAATATTTACATCACATGTTTTATCATCGTCAAAGAAAAGAGAATAACTTTTAGTGTGCTTTTTCTTTATACTTGATATTTAACCTTCAACAATAACTAATTCACTGATACACTAGTATAATAGTATATGTATCTCCTAACTATATAGTCCAGAGTTCGAAAAATTTCAGATAAAGAGAAGAAAAAAAACAGACAAGAACTATTTTCTACTATCTTTTGTAATAATAAAAAATATGATATCATCTCAGGCGCGGAAATCGAACATCATTCAGTGCATTTCAATAGCCAATTTACTGGACAATAATGCATATAGATGCAGATAAATGTTTATCTCAATGCACATTGCCCACATTGACAAGAAAAACTCGATGAATTCAGATGAATTGAGCTATAGCAGAGTCAGACCTATAAATTTTATTGGCGTGGAGGGGAGTACATGCCTCCAAAAATAAAAATTTAGCATTTCTTTCCAGTGGAAATTAAATTTTTTTACAGCTCCTCTCTCCCAAAGTTGATCGCCAATTTACGGTCCAGAGCATAGCATATCTTCCGCAATTTTCAGGTTATTCTAATTCATTTTGAGTCAGTTACTTTTTATTGTTACATGAAAACAGGTGAAAATAGTCTGAATATCTTATTCTTGATGGAAATGGTTTTCAATAGAGTTTTAAATCTGTTTCGAAAAACAAATCTTACAACAAGATTCAGCGCGGTCTATAACCTATAATCCTTGCATCTTTAACAATTTTTAAATTTGCTAAGGATCGGCATTTACAAGTGGTAGGACTCCGGAAAAAGTCACAACATGCCTAACGTTTATACCTAAAAACGTTGAACTTGTATAGAATTCAGATGAAGGTCCACTAGGTCAAGTACACATCTTACCGTATAAAATTAGAAACCTTTTTTAGTGTTGAAAATCTCATCTGAAAATGATCGATGAGGTACACCACCGGTAAATGATGATTTATTTTCACTTTCTGCAGATCGATTACGTCACAATGCTCTTTTGAACAGTGAAACCGTAGGTTCTTAGTTACTGTCAATCAAAAGTTATTCAGAAAATGGTCATAACCACTTTTACTTTGGACAGACAGTAAATACTATGTTTAAAATACCAACACTGGATGCCAAAATTGAAAATATATGCAAAAGATGCATAGTCTTCTAATATGACAAAAAACAAATATATTTTTTTTTCTCAGATGGATATTTGTCGTTACAATCAAGAAGAAACACTTCGACTCTAAAACATTCAAGTATAAGTTAAGAGAACCAAATCTACACTATACATTATTTTCGATGTTTGAGTTGATATGTTAAGTAACTAAACTAAAACGATCGAAAGCACTTTCGCTAAAATAATTTACATTTTACTAATAATTTAATAATAGCCCCGACCTTCACAAATCCATAGGTCAACAGCGTTCAGCGCTAATATTGTCCAGCCAGTTTATCGTTAACCACACCACTTTATATGTCATTCGATAGAGAATTTTACGGGCTACGAAATGATATATATAATATTGAGAACAAATGGGATCTGAATGTCCTAACACTAGAAATACTACTGGAGAGTGATGTTTTCGGCACGGACGGATAGGCTAAAGCTATATAAAACCGTTTACCAGTTACATCGGCCTTTGACGTCAGTGACGAGACCTACCTTAAATTATAGAGCTCAACAAGCTGAACAGAATGATGACAACTGCAAGTCTCCAGCCCTGTTAGAAAAAAAGCTATAGCTATTATGCATTTTCTCCATTCTCCGGCAGATTTGACCTAACTTGTAGAACACCTGTTCACCATATTCCCTAACGTAGAACCTTGAAGTTGGTGTCAAATGAAAGAGCGCATCGAGTTCTATATATTTCGACGGAGAAAAGTTATGCTTTTCAACCATATCATTAGATAGCCCCTTCAATTCTCCATAAAATAAGATACTGGTCAGGTTTACTGGCCGTGGACAACCGAGCGACTTGTCCAAACGTCAGGACGTTACGTGTTTCACGCACTGAACGTCGGTTATCCCGGAAACTAAAGTAGCTAGAAGTTCGCTCAAACGTCAATCACCGCAGTTCATCAAATATTTGAGGCACTTAACACGATGGTATAGTTTTGATTTTCACAGCTTCTTGTGTTCTTTGTATATTTGATTGATCTGCGCAAAAATCAAGCTGCTGTATCAAAATAAGAGCTCAAAAACTGGACAGTAAGTCGGATACTGTTGAAGTATGTACAAATTGTACATAGCAAGTAACCTCAAAAACTTATACGCCAGTTTGTAGAGAATTCAATGCTCTACAAAAGCACGTTTGTAGAAATTTGTTTTAAAAAATGTTTATGGTTAAAACATTAAAAATCCAGTTTCTGAACAGTTCAAAGTCAGGTTTTTGGGATGAAAAACGGCCTTCCTTGAAAAACGAGTTTCAAACGCATTCTTAGAATAAAAAACTGCATCTAAACATGTGTTCAAAACTTTCGATATCGGAAAAAAAATTTCAAAAACTTGATCAGTGAAGTGTACCGGTACGTGGACAAGCCGCGAGTTACAGGCCGATAATATATTCGATATGTTTCACAATTTTGCTCAGTTCTGGATGCTTATATTTCTGTCACAGATACCACAAAAATGTCTTTTTGCACTTCAGTTTGGTGGAGCAAACATTTTTCGTACAAAATGAGACATTTGGCAACTCTAAGTGCTTTTTCACAACTGATTCGGAACGACTTTGCTGGATGCAATAATATCGATTATTAATCGGTGCATACCTAATCCCGATCGGGATATGCTTTCTCATGCTTTTTATGAAGGTAATTGATATTAAGGTTAAAAAGTTAAAATCCAGTGTATTGCGGAACCCAATATTATCCAATCTTATTGTACAATATCTTCAATAATGATTGATACTGATTCATGCCTATTTCAGACCATGTAATACTGGTGGAACTGCGTGGAACTACTCTGCAATGTTGAGGACCTGTCTAGTGGTGCCCTCAGCGTGAAAAACAGAGTAAAATGCTCGCTTGAAGTAAGACGGTTAATATTTGATGAACTGCGAGGCTCAAAATGATAAGGAAGATACTTTTATACCGAAATCAGACACAGCCGTTTTATAGGACCCCAGAGCCCTATAAATTATTATTTGTTGTGATAAAATTTGGAGAAAAATTTCGGGACGTTTTGGAGATACATGAGCTCAAGGTTTCACTAAATTGATCACTGTTCAAAAACGCCGCTCTAGTGAACTTTCAAATGACCCGGTCTTGGACATCAGTAATTTTCTTTTTGTATTTCAATTCCTGATCTTTTCGATTGTTTTACTGCACCTGATCAGGAAAAAACCTATATTCTGTAAGCAGATTCTGATCAGAGCACAAATCACAGCAGGGATCAGGAAATGGTTCCTGGAGGTCCCAGGTCGTTTGAGGCTCTAGGACTGTCCGTGGTCTTGAAAAAACAGTGTCCTGTTCACAAAATCAATGACTATCGCTTTTACATTCCAGTGATCTATTCAGGGCTCTGGCTAAGTCATCTGATTGTTCACTAGGGCAATAACTATCGGACTAATTCTTTCGTTATTTCACTCATCTTTCTCGCCGCTTCATTTGCGTCTACTGCTAACTGTACGTTGAGAACATTGTGGTACTTTCAGACAATTTAGCATTTTATTTATTTACAAATGAGACGTAGTTACCTTCAGTAGATTGATTGTCTTCTTCATAACCAACTTAGTTTCTGCATTCATCAGATTTGGCATGTTAAACGTTTAATTATTTCTCGCTTTACATGAAAAGTAGCGTTCATTAAAATGCTTATTTCGCATCACTCGTACATGTTTTAAATTATTTGAACAGCCAAAAGCTTAAAAATAGTAGCGAAATGGGTGTATACTAAAAAAATGATAAAATTGTAGGCAGACAACGAGGTTCCGTGAAGCTCCATACTTGCCCAAGTAAGCAAGAAGAAATGGCTATATGCTGAAATACATCAGTAATCAATATAATTCAGTCAGCCAGGTTTGAATTAATTACAGAAACGTCATATTCGATATTAGGGTGAAATATATAATCTCTGCTTTGACAACTTGTCTTCAAACCGTTAAATGTGTAGAACAAAAACATTAATTATTTCAATAATCATATGGCAAACATTCATCATTTCTTCAGAAGGTGCAGTTCTTTCGAATAAAACCAGCTGACCTGCTTTCAGAACGGGAGAGAAAGCAGAAAATTGAGACAAAACATAGTTGGAAATTGTCCGAAATGCTGCTATATTCGCTGCAAGAATATGATGGGTCCCAGGTCAAATGTGCATCGGTCCCGGGACTGTAAGTTATATTTTCTTACTCAACTTGACGAGATCCACAAAACCAGATAAATTTCATCGCTTACAGGAGAACTTCATAATGGTATGCTTTGGATAGACTTAGCCAGTATATTTTTATGTTTTCCGTTTATCTTATCGGGATGGCACGGTTAATGTTTTTCGCCAGTGAGCACGACTTTTTGAAGAGAAAATTCACAATTGAACCTGAGAACTATACAAATCTTTACCATGCATGAAAGATTAATTCTCCTGTTATCGTATACTTTGAAGTAGAATTTTATTTGAGAAATCATATTCATGTCGTTACTTCTGTGACTATACCATACTACAAAAAGCGGTGCATCAACTGATTTGCGAACCCGCCTATTAATTGCTGTTCAAACCCGCCGCCACCACCCATTGGAAAACTCCCGCCACCGCCCATTGGGAAACCACCGCCACCTCCCATTGGAAAACCACCGCCACCTCCCATTTGATTCATGAAACCGCCCATAGGGAAGCCACCACCGCCATGCATCATAGAAGATAAACCACCTTCCAACATTTGTCCAAATCCACCTTGCCCAAAACCTCCACCCTGGAACATTCCTCCTCCACCCGGGAACATTCCTCCTCCACCGGGCATGCCACCAAATCCTATAGAACCAGTAGATCTATATTATGAAAAGAATCATTATTTTCTTCCTCAACTTGCCTCCTCCCATATGATGATGATGATGATGATGATGACCAAACATTTTTTGTATCCGTTAGATTGCAAGACGAATTGACTTAAGCGGTGTACAGACTATTTGATTTTATAGTTCTAGAAGAAAGGTATGTTTTCGCCTTCACATTTCTCTTTTTAGTAAAAAATTATCAATTATAGAAAAAATAATTGATAATAAATAATTATGAGACCACATCAAGCATGACATATGTGACAGAAAGATCGAATGTACGGATAAATGCACAGATCAAGTTATCTTTAAGAATAGGCCGTAAATAATATTTGACAAATGTTTCTGGAATAAAAGGTTTCATTATAAATTTTCGACTTGAGAACCACATAAAGCGAAACCTCGCCAGCTGTGTGGAAGAGAAGACTTCAAATCTCGCAATATTTTTCAATTGGGATCTAATTCCTTTGAGTAAACTTGATATGCGCATTTATCCGTACATTCAATGTTTCTGTCACATATGTGATGATTGATGTGATCTCATAATTATTTATTATCAATTATTTTGTCTATAATTGATAATTTTGTACTAAAAAGTCAAATGCAAAGGTGAAAATATACCTTGCTCCTAGAACTATAAAATCAAATGGACTGTACACCTTCTCAGTCTTCATCTTGATTGGGCTTGCTTTCGGGATGGATCTCCACATTTGTAGAAAAAGTTGTTAGTGAAGTGATCGAAGCTCCATTGGATTATGTAGCCCTAAAAGTCTAAGCTAATAAAATTTTCGAGACTTCTTAATTGAGATCACTTTTTTGATAAAATATGTAACATAAAAATTAACATCAAAGAAACATCACAGGGCGGGAAGCCCAAAATGAAAGTGAGTGGAAAATAGTGACCTCAATTAAGAATGAGGCAAAATTTTGAGTCTTGAAGATCGAGAAATTAATCATTTCATTGAAGAAAGATCGGTGGAAAAGAGTATTAATCTGCTGCTTGAATCAAATGAATAAATTAACCGAGGCTTCATGACTGAGATCTCCTTTTTTTGATGATTATTAATTAGATTTAAAATGCCGTCTCAATTTGAAATGCATATATTCTCTCGTCTTTTATACAAATAAAATGTAGTCTCACTTTGGAATAGAGAGTTTGTTCTTTTCACATACCTTGTACACTGTTTATAATTTCGAATCGCTGTATGATAATGAATGACTGGCTACTATAGACACAGAAATTGATTGAAAATTTTTTTCAAAACTTATGCTTAAAACTAAATTGAGCTGTGAACGACATTACTGGATTGGATGAGACTATAAAAATGAAGAGTAACACTACCTTGAAACAGAATATTTCAATTCGATTTCCTCTATGAATCCTATTATGTCTACAACTCTACATTTTTCTCGTATCAAAACTGAGAAAAACTAAGATGGTATATTATATAAAAGTTAATTATATCGTTTAAAGCCATCAGATAAAAACGGAACTGAAAAATGGATCTGTAATCGTAATTCTTGTTCTTGTTCAATAACAATAAAAGATGATGTCATAATTGGTACAATTATTTCAATGAAAACCTGGATTTAGAAGCTTATCAAGCAACATTATGATCATTAAGTTACCATTATATAGTTGTGTTAGATAATGATTCTAATTTTAAAGATGATAATGAGTACGAACCTAAAATATAACTGTCTTATTTGCTATATATTTATTTGCAAGAACTGATGACCTTTCAAAGTCCTAATAGTACAAAACTAGAGAGGAATACATAAGTGAAGATGAAAATGTCGGAGAAGATATTTCTACAGATATGAATAAAAAGAATTTTTGTTTTACATTTACGTTTAAAAATAAAAACTATCCTGCTTGTTGTATTCCTTCTATTGTAATATATTTGTGTGTCTACAGCAGTCAATCATTCCTAATTACATAGTCATTCGAAATTATTACAAACTATGTGAAAAGAATAAACTCTCTATTCCAAATTGAGACTACATTTTATTTGTATGAGAAACGAGAGAATATATGTATTCCAAAATAAAATCTTGTACTTTTGGTTAATTACCATTTAAATTACTATTTGTTATTTTTCGATGAGGTGTAATACCTATTTTACAAAGATTACCGAAAAATAATTTCAAAATCCATGTTTCATCTCGTTGATGCAACTCAAAACATTTCCAAAATCTTCTAAATAATTTCTGATATACATTTCTACGAAAGACCACTTTTTCATCACTTTTTCTTGAGACGACTTTTTCTACTAAAAAATTTTCATTTCCAAATTGAGACTTTTTAAATCTAATTAATAATCATAAAAAAAACGTGGTCTCAATCATGAAGCAGTGAGATTAAATTTTATACAAAAAATACTACTCACTCAAAAGTACTTGCTCTAAAAACGGTTTGTTTTCTGACAAGATTTTCCTGGTAAAAAAGGTGTTGGTAATAATTCTTTGCTCAAAGTATTAGGCTAAGAAGAGTAACCATTGTTTGTTTCTGTATTATTTTCAGACGGATGTACGTCATCGTCCAGTAAAGTGTCCATCGAAAAAGGATGACATGTTCTTTTTTTTTTTTTTTTTTTGCAGATGACCACTAGGGGTGCTAGCAGTACTTTAACATTAGCAGAGAAAAAAAGAAACAAGAAACAACTATTGGATTGAGTGATGTGTACAACATCTTAAAAAATAATAATTAATAGTTTACAGACAATGGACACCTAGTTTCAACAAAATTTTTCTATACACTGTTAAATATAAAAATATCACATAGTACTATATATCAAACATAATTAAGGGCACAGAACACTTAGATCGTTTCCGGAAAATTTTGAAGAAGAAGGATATCTAACATTTCGTAATCATGTATTGAGCAGTTAGCACTGTTTGATGCACACCATTCTATACACTTTTCTAATACTGATACATGCTCAACAAATCTTTTCGACCAAAACAGAGCTTCAATAGAATTCTCCATCTACAACCAAGCCTTCCTAAACTCGTTCACATGTGGTTGTTCAAATAGGAGTTCTCCGTCCACTGAATCTGATAGCGCTGCCAAATATCTATCCCAATACCTCATACATCTATCCTCAAGAGAGATTTCATCGAATACAAAGGCAAAAAAGGCATCTGACCAGTGAAGGCAGAACTTAATCCGTTTAAAACATGTGTAGTAAAAGTGTGATAAATCATTACGCTGTTTTTCTGTAAATAAGGGGAATAATGCGAATAATCATGTAAATAGAGGTAGAACATAGGATAGAAATAATGCTCTTCTCAAATAGACCGATCTGGAACCAGCGATACGGACAGAATTTATCATGGCAATCCTTTGTCTGATTTTGATCATGCTTTTTTTTTATCATCTTATCCCATCCTAACTTGGATGATATCCAGTAGCCTAAGTATTTAAATTCATTAACCCAGTTAATACAGTTGCCTCCTAATGATATGCTAACTTTTAGATCCGATAACTCTTGCAGACCATAATGCTTCTGTTTTTGAGAAGTTTACCGGTTGTACAGTTAAAATAGCATAAAATTCTAACTGATCGCATAATTATTTCAGTCTTCTTTCCAAATCAATGCACTGTTCTGTATACCTAACCCCTATTCGCCCAGCTAGAACTACAGCTAAATCATCAGCAAATAAAAAGCTTGAACAATAGTTTAAAAAGTCGCCCATATCAGAGTGGTAAGTGATAAATAACGTTGGAGTAACAATGGATCTTTGCGGGCCACCTCTTTGAATACAAACTATCGTGACTTCCTTCCTTGGATCTCAATGAAGGCTCTTCGATTCTCTAACCATGATTTTATCCATTTCAAATAGGCTTTGGGAATTCCCATCCTTCTAAGTTTCCCCAAGCAGCCCTCAAACCATAACTGATCAAACGCCGATTTAAAATCAATAAACACGATCGCTACTGGTGAGCTATTTGACATCATCGACGATACCTGTTCCAGAAATAGAAGTACCCTCGTTTGCAGACGAAATTTTTCTCTGAATCCCGATTGGGTATCTGGTAAGAGTCCTCTTCTAGTTAATATACTACAAAATCTCGTTAGAAATAGTTTTTCGTCGACTTTCAAAAATACATCCAACAAAGAAATAGGACGAGTTTGAGACGGAATACAGATCAACTCTTTTTTCGCTAGTAGTAGCATTCTAACATCACTCCACGCCGATGGTAAAATAGCCCCCTTAAATGAGAAATTAAAGATTTTTAATAACAAGAACCAATACAAAAGTGGTAAGTAGTTAAACATAAAATTAGATAGAGTAAACTAGGGTAATTGAACAACATTCTAACGAACATTTCCAATTACCGTGCTTGGAGCAATTGGAAACAGCAATAAATTGATGGGGTAATTGGATACTTTACATAGAAAATAATTCATTAGTAAAAAACAGTTTTCTCGTTAAGCTAATCATACTAATTAACGTTTTTTGCACAGATAAATAGACCAATTATTGCACTACAGATGGTGAGAATTACTCATTAATTAGCCTCAGCTCTAACTAAAAAGGTAAGCGCTGAGAAATTTTCAAATGTTTCCGATTACGCCATTTGGGGTAATTGGAAACGTACGTGAAACTTAGTGAGGTAAATGGAAACAACCATGTAAAATAGCTGGAAAGCTAGGAATCTCTTGGAAATCAGTTTCTAATCGAAGCACACCTCTCACAAAAATATTTACGCTAATAAAAAGATGCGAAATATTCTCTTCTACAACCGCAGAGAAACTCTCACTCGTTCTCATTGAGAAATAACGAAATAGGCGTGTTACACGAGAAAGTTGGTCTAGGATATCTCGATAATCACGAGACCAAACTTTATGAGACTCGGTGCTGAAGTATTTCTCAACGTCATCTCCCGTACTATGTATTTTAATGCTAAATCGTGGGTTGGTTTAAGCTTTAATCTTGAACCAGAACGAAATCGAGAATA